AAAAAAAAGTGGAGGTGTGTCACAAACCACAATTTCAGATTTATGCACCCTTTACGGTATCTGAGCAGCTTTGGCTCCTGGAGGAATTCCTGCAGAACTCAGTGGGTTTGCATGGTTTCTACCCAGGGCCAAGCAAAATGAGTTGCTTTGCAAGACTATTAACAGATTTAGGAGGTCATTTTAAATCAAACTCATAGCAAGAGTTGAAGCGGCAAACCCATACAACCCCTGAAAGATTTTCAGGAATGCATCTGAACTTTCGGTGCTGCAGCTTTATTTTCTTTTCCATTTGAAATAAAACACTTCTAAGAGTACAGCAGCCTTTGATTCTGTGCTGAGATCTGATTCTGAAGAACAGATGAAAATACCATTTCCTTATACATTCCTGAGTCTTCACCTAAACGAAAAAAACAAAACTTAACCTCCTTGACTAAAAATATTGCATGAATCTTAACAAAACAGGACAAAGAATATGGAAATTTGTTCTTTCTTCCCAATTTAACTTCCCTCCATTCACTTCCCTCCTCTATTTTTCTACCTCACATCAGCAGTTAAAAGAGGAAAAAAAAAAAACCACCCTAAACCCAACATCAGAAAGGGATACAAAGTAACTCCCATGAGGAAAAAAGTAGCTTGAAACACCTTTAAACCAGCAGTAGGGTGAAGAAAAGATTAAACACAGAAGAGAAACCCAGCATGGCAGGAAATAATGCCGACTTGACAACACCATGCTCATCTAATAGCTGAAGCCAAGAGGCTGGTCCAGCTCTCCAGCCCCCTTTCACGCATTTTGTTCTTCCCTTTCCATCTGCACTTGCACTCATTCATCTGATCCCATAGTGAGCTGGAACAGGGAGCTAAACATGCAGAAAAAACCTTCACATTTTGGTAGGGTGAGCTTTTTGCCCAGTTAGCTCTCAACTGCCAGCACTGGCACGCAGGAGGGGGCTGAGAAGTGCCGGGGAAGCGGGACCACACCTTGCAGCAGCAGCAGCTAGTGTTTGCAGCAGCTTAGCTGCACTGGCAAACTGCACCATGAGAAATAGCCTGCGTCATTCAAAAACAGCCTCAAAGTGCTGCGCTGACAGTCTTCAAGATTAATCTTTTTTCCATTACAGCGGGTGTAACAATAGCAATTATGATGATGGGTACAGGTCCAAGGAAGAAAAATTTAAGCAGAAAAACGTAGGTAAGAGATCTAGACTCCATCTAGGCAGAAGACCTCCTGGAGAAGGAGGTGCGAAAGAGGAGGGCAAAAAAAGATTAAAGAAAGTTTCAGCTTCCTGCTTGAGCTGCTCCAAAGCATTGCTAAGAGCCATTGCAGACCACTCTGCGCAGGTAGATGCCAAAGTGGACCTCAGGTACAGTTTGTACAACAGTTCAAGTTTACACAGCACTTTGGGAATCCTCATGATCAAAGCTGACCTCTAGCCAGCTTGCAACGGTTTTTAAATTTTTTGTGCAATATGCTAAAACCACCCTCACTATTTCTTTGTTCTCCTTTCATAAAAGGAGAGTGGGGAAAAAAACAAAGTGTGTTATATTTTAAAGTAAACTGCTCCTTCTGGTGTGAGGGGTTCCCTGAAAATACAAACCAATTTAAAGCTTTCAAGTAATGTGTAATTGAGGACAGGTCTCGAAGACTGGCTTTGGGGCACCAGAGAAACACACAACTCCATATACTACTGAGCTGTTTATGTTTGGGGACTCAAACAGCTTATCGTTAAAAGATTTCCAAACACTGATGCTAATTCCAAGCAAGGTGTCAACAGACAATTGCTGAATTAGGAGGTCCATTCCTAGATGATAATTTTGAAGATGGATCCAAAACACTACAGTTTGTCTTGTTAAAATCAGTTCATCCACTCCGCATTCAACTTCCTTAGCTCCATTCTCTGACTTCTACAGCCACTTATTTATCTTATTGGTAAACAAAACTGCAAACCTCAGTTCAAAGTTTATGTCACAACTCCCAATATAATTGTAAAATCATTGAGAAAATAATGAATTTCAGAAAGTTTGGTGTTTTCTAACACCAGAAAAAACCCCACACTCCAGCACAGCATGCATCTGGGTTTTTACTGTCTTCACTTTTGGGAGCTGAACTCAACGCATCACAGGGAGTGGGAAAGTTTCATAAGGTTTTGTATGAAATCCTAGGACTTGGATCTTCTTCAAAAGCAGACTAAGAAAAAAGGAATTCCCCCATGCTGATGCCAGCAGAGGTCATCAGAAGAGCTGAAAGGTTTAAGTCTTCCATTGCCATCACCCCCCTGCCAGACGCCTGCCACTTGCACAGAGACACAGGATGCTCAACCCCAGCACATCCCAGAGCCAGAGGGGAACTTGACACCCCTGGCAGTGGCCTTGACAAACACCTGTCCTCCACAAAGGTCTGCTGAAAGACAAAAATAAAGGTTTTCGTGCTGGGGTCTGAAGGACCAAGGTTTAGCCAGCAGAGATTCTTCCTCCCACTTCTCCCCGCCGACCTAACAACTACAACCGCTTCTGCCCTATGTCCTTCAACTCGGCCTCCATCAACCTGGGTCCTTCCAAGAAATGCACCTGCAGGGAAGGTCCTGCCTTGTGAAAGGCTCTCCCCGCTCAGCGTAGGTATAACCTTTTGGGACAAGAAACACCACAAGTCCTTAATGCACAAGTGCTAACTGCTGATGTTTTTCAAAAGCTTCTAGCATGGCCAATCTGAGCAGTCTGCCATGGGAACAGCCAAGGGAACATCCCAATCCAAATCACCTTTCTGCACTAATGTGGTTGTAATTTTTCCTGGCCCTGTTATCAGGAGCGACTGATACAGTGCATGTTGTTTTCTTCATCAGAGATCTCCAACTTGGAAAATTTCAGCCCAAATGGTTTAAAATTTGATAAAGGCAAAAAAAGGGGAAAACAGCATTTGTTAGTGTGATCTTAATCCTAAATTGTCCTCACACAGCATCACCTGTAACTTCAGAGATTAAAAAGTTATATAGTTTACACACCATCAAGTGACTATGTACTGTAAAAAAAACCAACACTATTCTAACACGTATTTTGCTGTCCTACATGTTACACCCAGTTTTCCATCCTGGTAACGCACAGAAGAATTCAGTCCAACCAAGCTTAGCACGTACACACCTTTCGGTTGAAACCACCAAAACCTGCTGTCCTGTGTAATGCTGCACTACTTATAAAAAATGCTATAGAGCACGTGCTGACTGCTCCAGGCACTTGAAAGAAGGAAACAACCGAACAGTGCTGTGAGTACCTAAACACAAATACACCATGCATTGCCAGGGAGAAGCAGGTCAAAGCTAAGTATTGTTAAATATCAAAAAACTATTCCATGGGCAAACTGAATGTGTCCTGTTGTTACATACGATTAGTGACCACAAGATGAGGAAAGCAAAAAACCACCACCCTGCACCTGTGATTTCCAGTCTCCATGCAGATCAAGAGGAGCCTTAGTCACTCTCAAGGCATGCTAACTTTTAACAAGCAGAACCTGAATTCCTGCAGACTTCAGCCTCCAGGGGAGTGCCAGTGTGGGTTCTCTGACATCTAATAGA